TGCTGTAGCTGAACCCAGGACAACAAGTCTGTTAACCCACAAAGCCCAATCCAGGTAGTTGAAAGTACTGCTAACATTTGATAGCTTATTTCTGCATTATTACATTTTCACAATGATACCATATAACACAGGGTATAAGGCAGTGAGAGGCTGAGCAGAAGAGAGTTCAGATTTCATTTTATTACTTTAAAACTCTGCTGTACATGCAGCTTAAACTAGCAGATACTGTTCTATTCACACTTCAACTACAATAATTAACACTAAATGTTGATTTGTGTGCATCATTCAGAAATGTAGATATGACCTGTACTGCCCACTGGCAACAACTACATTTCTGTCAAATGAGTGAAAAAGAAATCTATTATAGAAAGTTTACGCTGGTCTTATACTGGCCATCAGAGTAGATCAGACAGTAATTAACTTTGTATTGTCAGTATTGGAATTGGTTTATTATTACAAAATATTTAAATACTTTCTGTCTGGTAGACAGTTGACACAAAGTACTTGATCTGGTGTAAGTGTGCATGGTGTTACTGATCTAGTGGTATCAAACCAGGAACTGGATTATGTATCTTGCCAATTCACAGCCCTGAACTTTGTGGCTTATACAATGAAATGATTACCTCAATCTTAAATGACAGGCCATGAGTAACACCTCTAGCAGTCACAGGATAGGAGACAAACTAAGTAGATACAGAGAGTGGTACAGTGCTGTGAACATCCACTCTCTCCCCCTCCAAATAATCATTTGTGATTGGAATAGCTCAATCCCCACTATGCTCACCATCCTCTGGAGGAAGACAAGCTGCTTCTCTCTCCAATTCCTTCAAATCAATGGTTGTTGTCTGTAGCAATGTCAGGATTTCATCACCTGGGCTCACTTCAACACAGCTAGAAGGGGGGGGTGGGGGATCAATTTACTGAAATGGATTTTTACTAGAATTACAATGCCAATGGCATCACACACTCAAATTCCCCATTATTCCTTCTGTGCAAATACATCAAAAGATAAGTGAATTTGTGGGAAGTACTAGAATACTGCATAAATAGTGTTAGTCAAAACAAAACGTAGTAAGTTACTATAATTCATTGTTGATGGTTCCAAACGCTATCTCTTATGTTTCCCTTGTTCTTTGTATTTATTTTATCTTGGTAAACATTAGGATTGCCAAATCCCAAACAGCACAAACTGGAAATTCAAGCAACAGTCAAAATATTATGAGCTGGCAAACCCTCAGAAATTTTTGTACTGACTTATTTTTTGGATTTGATCTTTTGGAGAAATGTACAGCCAGCTGCCTGTCTTGAGCAAAGGAGACAGATCACTCCGTATTTATTATTCACTGGGACTGCTTCTCAATGAAACACTTAAACACTTTCTGTAGCCAACCAACCAAATTATGCTTTTCAGTCACCTCTTAACCCACTTGGAACAGCTTAGCATTTTACAAAACCAAGATAAATAGTTACTCAAGCAATAATTTCTACTAGTAGAGAGTATTCTAGAGGAATTAATATCCATACTTCCTAGCCACAGCACCTATGTTAAGTGTGCAATGAAGAAAAGAGTTCAGGCTATTTGTAATGGGTATTAGAAAAATACTTGTGTATGATTACTCATGATTTTCAAGTAGTTCTTACCTTTCTGGCTTGGTAACAGATTGCTGGAAGTAATCTTCTGCCATATGCAACAGTTCCGAGTACTTAGCAGATCCTTCCATTTCTCCCTGTTTAATGCAAGTCACAAGTATGAATCCAAACAATCCTCCCTCCCCTTCCTTTTCACAAGGAGGCTTAATAACAATGACAGTTGTCACACAGAAATTTAGTGCTGAGAAAATCAAACAAGTAATACAGCTTTGCCATGTATACTTGGAAGAGAATATAGGGAATGGGCATAACGTATTGTCAGTCAAATATGAACTGAAGTCTTATGCTGCAATATTATATGGTGTACACCAGAAACAATCAAAGACTACTATGATTCCCACAAGAAGGCCCTGACCATGTCCATGTTACAACTGTACAGGAATTCTGAATAAATCCGTTGTTGTTTAGGAACTATCCACAGAAGTGGCATTGCAGTACTGTAAGAATATTGCCCTTTTTCTATATTTAAAAGAGATTAACCTAAACATTCTGATAGAGTTGTCCAATTTTATAACCTACAATATAGTCAATTTATGTTCAATTTATAAATGTCAAATATGTAGTCAAAGGCATCTTTAAGAAAACCCAAACAAACCAAAACCAAAAAAACCCCAACCATGTGCAAAAAATACACTTACATGGTCCCAAATGGGTCCGTAGATGTTAAGTACAGACCTTCAAGAATATTTAATTCTAGAGGTAGAACAGTGAAAACATTTATGACGACACAACCATACCGTTGTTTCCTTTATTCAAGTGTATGTACCCCTTCTTGAGAGGAACAAGTTCATCCCCAAATCCTGCTTTTTCCTTCTTAATTTTAATAAGAAATTAATTAATTTCGAAGGGAAACAAACTGCACATATCTCCATTAAAGACATTCATTCATTTTCCATAGAGAGACGCATTAGATTTCTCTCCCTGCTGTAACTACTAACACAAGTTCAAAAGCTAAACCATGTTTTTCCTGGAATGTTTAAAAGACACACACAACTTCACCTTGAAGTAATCTTTTTCCTTGAGGCTGCTGAGGAATCGCTCCCACAGAGGACCGCTCAACACATTTCTCTTAGAATCAGGAGATACCTTACTGCACTTGGAGCACAAAATTTCAAAGCCATGAGCCTGCGTAAGAGATGCAACAAGAGGTTCTCAAGATGTGACAAATTTTAAGTGCACCTTTAAATGACTGCATAAAAACCTGACTATCATCACACTCCTGATGCTGACATTTGAGAAGTAGGTGCCAATCCCAATTATACGTCAGGTAGCAGTATTTGTTTCGGAAGTTGGAATCTGTCTTTCTGCAGCAATAAAGGATCATTTTGATTTTGCAAAGTCCCCTACATTGGGAAAGCAACGTAGAAGACATATCTATAGCACACAAGCTACTCTGCACATAAGCACTGAGGCCTTACCTGTACTTATAATCTATGGAAGTATAATAGATTCTATTAAATGTATATATATTATATATATGTGTATATAAATATCTATGTATATACATGTATACGTGTATGTATATCTATATATGTCTATGTTTTTATATATATATGTATCTATCTATGCTCTGTTCTGTAAAAGAAAACTCCTATGATTCTGTACTTCCATAAAAATGGTGACTGTGAATTTGCTCATATTTTTCTGTACAAGCGGGCAACATACAAGCAAAGAGTCATTTCTCAGGCATAGGTAAACAAGCAAACTAAAGACTAAGCACAAAACACATGAAGAGATAATTACCAGTTTCATGCCCAGCTCATAGGCTTTGAATTGAGGGTGAGATGGGAGAGGCAGTGTGTATCCACTGCGTCTATCTGGAACAAACTTCTGCTGCACCAGTTGTGCATATAAACACTTTGTGAAAGTAACCTGAAAAAGCCAGAGCAAAAGAAAAACACCCACTGCAGTGTAACTATGTTGTATACAAGCATCAACTTCCCACCAATCTAATTTTTAAAGCATCCATATTACAGATGATACCTGAGGTTGTAGTCATTAGATGCATTCACCTAAGATTGTTGCTTTTCAGACCTCACAAAGTATATTCCAGGTTGACACATCTGAATAGACTTCATGCAGTCTAAATACATCAGGAAAACTGCTCAGTATTCATGCCAACAAAGTATATTTTGAAGAAGGTAAGTACTCTCTTAAATTAACAAAACCAAAGCTGAGATTTCAACAGTTTAGAAGTCTAAAATTTGACTCTAATGCTTAGTTTCAGGAGTCTAGGGGTATTACTCTGTAACCCAAACTTACCTGATACAACACTGCTTGGACAATGATCATAAAGCACTTCATAAAATATCTTTCACAAAGCTGTGCAAGCACAGCTAAGAAAGTGAAAAATCTCAGAATAAAAAGCTAGGGGCAGCAGGAGCAACTCCCTATATTGGCTGGCAGTGCTGTCAGATTGCTCTGATCACAGAACTAGATCAATTTACTTAGCAAGCATCTCAGCAGAGGAACTACTAGCAGTAACCTCTGATTTCAGAAACACCTCATGATTAGCCATGTCAATCTGAAGGCAGAAAAGCTATTAACGTAATGAACTAGAAATTCAGGTATAGCATCAAAAAAAAAAAATCAGAAAATATGCTGTTTTAAAAATTAAATCTACATATTTATATCCCTTGACCACAAAACTTGCGTCAGCTACAGAACCTAATTACGTGACAAGCTGCATTAGAAGGTTCACTTACTACAGTCATCACACGCTCCTCTGGACGAAAAGTCTTAAAAGAGCGACATGCTCGTAAATCCACAGGATCTCGCAGGTAAAAGGCCTGGACTGCTGCAGCCACCAAGGAAGGGCGCTGCCTCAGCACTGCCACAATGCCTGCTGGAAGGTAGCAGTGGGCTCGGTGAAAAGAGGCCTGAATTTTCTCAGGATACCTGTATCATACAATAGCAACATAGTATATTAGGTGTATTGCCAGCCCAAACCACTCCTTTATTAATTATTATTCCCTTTTTCACTTTAATATTAATCTGTATTATGGGCCAAGTACCAGCGCATCATTCTAAACTAAATTTAAAGCTCAGCTAACCTAACACCTGGAATGTCTGTTTGTATATATACAAATAGCTAATTAAATTTAATTCCCACATTGGTAAAATGAATCACTGTGAACTTGACTAACATGTCCATCTGTGCAGTACCCTTCACTGCACTGAGCGTAGAAGTCACCTGGCTCACACTGTCAAATCCTTGCAAAAAATAACATACAATGCTGAACACAGCTGTGACAAGCTGACACTCTGAAAAGCGTGCTGGTTCTACATTTTAGTTCGCAATCCTCCTCCTTCCGCCTGCAAAGGCTCCTAGACGCTCACAGAACTTTCAGATTATTCAGTACAAGAAGGATGTGAAGGAAGAATAACTCTTGGCATTGTCACGTGTGGCATCATAGCAGTGAACCACTTTCAAAGCCCCCAGATCACAGCGTAGTCTATGGGACACTGGTCCCCCTCCGTAGAAGAATGCCACCAAAAAAACTCCAGCTGGTGGCTTCTGAAAAGGAAGCAACTTTATCACATCTAACAGAAAAATATTTCAATTCAAGAAAGTACACCAGACAGCCCAGAACCAAAACTTACTGTTGCAGAAGACCAAAATAAAACACCCACATACCCACTGATGCGTTTATACACTGCTGTTCTAATGGATTCTGCAGCCAGGAACTCCTCCGAATGATTGGATAACAGTGTTAATGCCTGCGAGATAGTCAGATTGGCAGC